ATAGATCAACACAGTTACAGGAATAATGGGAGTAGGTATGCCAGAAACAGTGAGACTGGTTCAAGAAAGGGCAGGATTTAGAGCTATTGTCCACCATCACTGAGTCTTAGTCAATCAGATGGTACACAACAACAACCACAAACCCAAGCCAAAGGTGGACTTGAACTCAAATTCTTAAAAAGTTCAGACTTACTGGACCTATTGAGACTGGAGGACTCCCTGAGACTCACCCTGAACCAAACTATTCTACACATTTATCTTTTCTCAAATTAATAGATTGATTGATAGAATAAACAGCACTCCTGAATGCCTCAGTCATTTAAAAAAAAATCATCTCCAGGTGCTGTTTACTCATGTCAACATTGCAAACAAAGATGAGAAAAGGTAATGAGTCAGGGCAACTAAACTACCAGAAACAGAACAACCAGAAAGGAAATAATGAGAAGGTTGCCTCAATGGGTAAAATGCAACCAAGGTCATGAAACAAACTGAGTAGAAGTGGTTCAACAGGAATGGAGTTTGTTCTATAAATTAAAAAAAAAAAACGCAAAAAAAGTTATTTCAATAAATAAATGTAAGGAGTCACCTCTTCTCCTAAATTATTCACTTAGGTGTATTTTGTTTAGATTTTGTTGTAGATGTTGGAGCAAGTTCAGTCCCATCCGATCTCAGTTGGGGTTTTGTTGGTTTTGTGTTGGTTTTTCTTTTGTTGGGTTTTTGGGGGTTGTGTTACCATCAAATCGAAGCTGACCCATAGCCAGTGGGTTTTCAGAGGCAGCGAGTCACACAAGAAGAGGTGGCCCATCTTTCTTCTGCAGAGCATCTGGTGGGTTTGGTTTTGGGTTGGCAGCGCAATTCCTTACTACTCAGCCACCAGGGTTCCCCTCTAGTCTCAGAATTCAACCAAATAACAGTCATAAAAGGAGGTGCTCAGAGCTCAGAACGTGTGCACATGAGCTTTTTTTTTTTAAAAAAAAAGTTACCTTATTATATTTTGTTGCATGTACCATCAATTCAGACCTGACTGGTACAGGAGGAAATTGGCCCTCCTTCTCCAGCAGAGCATCTGGTGGATTTGAACCATATACCTCTGGGATTGCAGTACAGCTTCTTGCCACTAGGCCACCAGAGCTCCCCATGCGTGAGTTTTCTAAGGTCTTGGAAGCTAAGTCTCAGCGCCCAGCCGGCTCTGCTGTGTGAACTATGGGCTGCAAAGGTCCAGGCTCCTTGTTTGTTTCTTTCGGATGTCTCCGCTGTGAGCAGAGCTGCATTCTTGGGACTTGTAGGCGGAGATTCTTAACCGCGGATTTGGACATGGATTTCGGCATCTGAGAATGAGCGGGAAAAGGTCAAGCTCTCAACAAGGTCTGCAAGGCCCCGAACACTGCGTTCATCCCACCTGCCTCTCTGATCGGCTCTTTCCCTCTGCCTAAGGTTGTGTTTTGTTCTGCAAACACACCTTTGTCCCAACCTGTGGGCCTTTGAATGTACATTTCCCTCTGCAAGGAACACCCTCCTCTCTGACAATTCTGACAGCTTCTTATCATCTGCACTTGACTTTAAATACCATCTCCCCCATTTGACCCAGCAATTCCACTACTGGAATATACCCCAAAGAGATCATAACTGACATCCAAGCAGATATATGCACACCCATGTTTATTGCGCCTTTGTTCACAATAGCAAAGAGTTAGAAACAACCTAAGTGCCCATCAACAAACGAGTGGATAGAGAAGCTGTGGTATATTCACACAACAGAATACTACGCCGCATTGAAAACCAAAGAACTCATGCAGTATTATTCAAAATGGGTGATCCTGGAGGACATTATGCTGAGTGAAGTATCTCAGTCACAAAAGGACAAATAACTGCATGGTGCCATTGGTGAAAAATAGGACTGACCTCGGGGTTTGGGGCAGACTGAGAAAGATGGGTTCAATAATGTATACTGCATTGAAACAGATGAGGAAGAAAATTGTTTAAAAGGGATATGTGATTAGGTATTTTTGTCATGACAGGAGTGCAGGGTGAAGGCTGCATCGTGGAGTGGACCTGGGGGGAGAGATTGTAAAACAATGAAAGGATTTTTTTTTACTTTTCCAAGAGCATAGTGTGCTAGGGGGAGGCTTGGGAGGGGAGAAAACTGCAACAATGAATGATTGGAAATCCAAAGTCTTTGTAAATTTTCATTGAAATTAATAATAAATTTAAAAAAGAACAAATACTACACAAACAATTGCTGAAAAAAATAAAAGGATAACTAGAAAAAAAATATGTCCCCAGAAAAAAAAAACAAACCAACCCAACCTACCTTTTCATCTATCCATGCCCTTAAAAACACAAACAGAGCCTCCTACTGTGAAATCTGTTTTTGACTCAACAGCACATAACCGCAACAATCTTATTTTTTAGTTAAACGTTTACAACTCAAACTGGTTTTTCATTCACTCACTCATACACATTTTGTTTCATAACAACTGATCAAATGTGACTGATGAATTGTAATATTGATCAAGCTCTTCTCCGAATTTACCTATTCTTTTTATTCCCCCTCTCCTTCTCTTCCCATTCCTATTAACTAGCCTACCTGACATTGAGTTTTCAGAGGCAGTAAACCACACAGGAGGAAATTGCCCATCTTTCTCCTCTGGAGCAGCTGGTGGATTCAAACCGCCTGCCTCTGGGTTGATAGTGCAACTCTTTATCCCTTGGGCCACCAGAGTTCTACCTGCCATTATATTACTTATTTATTTGCAGTCCCTTGTGTGGCACAAACAGCTAATTCACTCAGCTGTTAACCAAAAGGTTTGCAGTTCAAGTCTGCCCCAAAGCCTGGGAATTATTTCCATATAGTCACAGCCCATCAAAGCCGAGTAGACATCTATTCTGACACACTCATGAGGTCACAGTGAGTCTAACACAAAAGCAGCTTCATTCATTCCTTCATTCATTGTATTATATGTCCTCTCCTTTCCTATAACAGTGCTCATCGCACGGTAAGTATTCAATAAATATTTGTGTGCATTTGAGCATTTCTTTGGGGTGGGGACTGTACTTTTCATGACCTTCCCAGTGGGCCCTAGGGAACCTCAAAGTTTAAAACCTAAGTTCACTGGTGAGGGAAGAAAATCCTGAACAGTGAAAAAAAAATGTTTAAGAGGGAGCTCTAGTGGCCTAGTGGCAAGAAGATGCACTGCAATCCTGAAGGCCCATGGATCAAATCTACCAGATGCTCCAAGATGCTCCGCTGGAGAAGGAGGGGCAATCCTGTGCCACTCAGATCCAATTTGATAGTACACACACACACACACACACACACACACACACACACACACGAAAACATTTTAAAAATAAATAAAAACTAAGCTCTATCCTGGAAGACGTGTGGTCTCCCAGAGAGGTAGAGGAATCTGGGACAGAGCCCAACGAGGGACTAAAAGGAGAATCTGGGGTTCAGGCATAGATTAGAGGGAATTCAGAGACCCATCCACTGGGGATTCAGGTTGGAGGAGTATGGAGACAAAAGCTGTTTGTTTTATTTTTTTGGTTTTTAAATTTTATGTGTGTGTGTGTGTGTGTGTGTGTGTGTGTGTGTGTGTACCGTCAAACGGGATCTGACTGGTACAGGAGGAGATTGCCCCTCCTCCTCCAGCAGAGCACCTGGTGGATTAGAACCTCGTACCTCTGTGATTGCAGATTCTTGCCACAAGGCTACCAGAACTCCCTGAGACAAATTTTGAGAGAAGCCCAGAACCCCTCCCTGCCCAGCCTCCCAACATGTGGGGAAATACAACACCCCCAGTGGCCCCCCAGGTTGTCTCCAGGGAGGGACCTCATGAGAAGGCAAAAACACCTCGCACACAAATAGAAAAACAAGAAACGCCTTTTAATGACCAGAGCCCAGTACAGCAGGTGGGGGGAGGGCAGATCTGAGTCCAAACCCACAACTTAAAAGCTACAACTTAAAACCACGACCACGGCTCTTCTTTGCCCCTAAAACAAAACACCAAGGCAGCTATCATGCCCATGGGGCATTAGAACCCTCTTCATGCCAGAGCATCTCTGCCTTAACTATTGGTTGACGATAATAAACTGGGGGTGATGGGGGTGGAAGATAATAATAATAATACTAGTAATCATCATCATCATCATCTGACAATAATAAAGGGAGTGGAAGGAGGCAGTGGAAAATCGGTCCTCTCTCTGGAAGAAAGGATTCCTGGTGACTTGGAGTTGAGGATACAGGAGGGTGAAGGAGGCCCAACAATGAGAAGAACAACAACCAGAGGAGGAGAAAGCCATGGGCCTGCTATCCCAGGACACGGCTGCCATGAACGTCTGTCCCTGCAGCCACTCCCACCCCCCCAAGTCCATGGTCTCCTGAAGGGGAACTAACGATCCAGCGGGGTCCCCCAGGAAGTGGTGGGTATTCAGGTGCTGAAGAAGGTGGAGAAGGCAGGTAGGTCTCAAGTGAGGATCCCATCCTGAGGCCCGTGGGCTGAAGATTGCGGCTCAGGCTTGGTCACTGTCCTCAAATGGTGAAGGCTGCCCGGAGCCAGCACAGTGGAGGCCTCCAGCTCCAAGGATCCAAGAATCCCACAAAGAATGGATCCCTGAGGATAAACCATCCAAGAGCAGGGCATTCACGAGCCTGGAAGATAGATATTGAGAATGTCCATGAACATAGAAGAGGAAAATTGGGGACATCAGTGGGCTTGATAGTTGGCCCTTTAAGGATGTCCATGAATTTGGAAGATGACCTTTGAAGATGTCCATGAACTTAGAAGCTGGACACTCAGGACATCCATAACCTTGAGAGTATTGACTCTAGTCCGGTAGCAGTCTCAGGGCTAAAGTGTCCAACGGGCCAGGGCGGGCCTGGCTCCCCTTAGATCCCTACAAACCCATTCATCAGAGATGAGCTCTCTAGGAGGCAGATACCCCAAAGGGCAAGGAGAGTCCCGGGAGGGCATGAGGGGTGCAGACTGGATAACTCACGGTCAGCGCCTGATCTTGCGGCCAGCGGAGTTGCGTCCACTGCGGTGGTAGAGGGACTGATGGCCCTCGTTGAGCGGGCAGTACTTGAGCGTGTGCGCCTGGTCCCCCGTGGCCCCACACAGGGGACACACGTAGTGCCTCAGGATGGGACACAGCACCACGCCCTCCGGTGTCTTCAGCAGGTGCGACGCGTAGACGTTTCGAGACTCACCGTTGTGTTTGCAGAAGTTACACATGCCGACCCCGCTGGCCCCATTGGACCCGCTCGCCCCGCTGGACCCGGAACCCTCATTCCACCCTCTCAGTGGCCCAGGATTTGCCTCTCCCGCTGCCTGGACCTTCAGCTTCTGCTTGTTACTCTGGATCAGCTCCAGCACTACCTGGTTCAGGTTAAAATAGTCCTTCCACATGTCGAAGGGAGGTGACTGCATGGCACCACAGGTCGGGAGAGATTGCGAGAGGTGCTGGCAAGAGCCCAAGAGGAGGGTGCGAGTCCGGAAAAGAGTAAAAAGTGCTGTGTGGGGGTGAGAGGAGCCGCATCCTCCTTTTATACTCCTCAGAGCCCCTTCTAAACAAAGGTGGAGCTTGGAATTTAAAGGGCCCACTCCCATATCTATGACCCCCTGCAGCTTCTAACCCCTAAGGCAGGCCTGTAGAAGGATAGTGCTCTGGTCTCTGGCCCCTGTTCCGCCCCCACGGGGGTCTGTAGCTTCCAGAAAGGTCCTTCTCAAAAACAACTAGGAAATAGCATCTCACCCCAGTAACAATTGCAAAGTTCAATAGAGGAGCAAATAGTAAATGCTGGCGAGGTTGTGAAGAGAGTCACTGCTTTTTCACCCTTTTTCACCAGATTCGCCTTTATTCACTGCTGGTGAGGGTGTAGGATGATGCAGCCACTATGGAAGGAGATTTGGCACTTTCTCAAAATGATGGAAATAGAAATACCATTTAACCCAGCAATGTTACTACTGCAAATATACTCTAAAGAAATCATAACCGCCATCCAAACAGATAGATGCACACTCATGTTTATTGTTGTGCTGTTTACAAATAGCAAAGAGATGGAAGCAACCCCAAATGTCCATCAACAAATGAATGGATAGAAAAGCGGTGGTATATTTGTACAATGGAATACTATGCAGCTCTGAAAAGCAATGAACTTGTAAAACATTACACAACATGGGAGATCCTGAAAGCACATCATGCTGAGTGAAATATCTCAGTCACAAAAGGACAAATACTGCATGGTACCACTGTGAGTGTTATAAAGCAGGTGTGATGTGGGCGGGTTGGGCAGAGAATGGAGGTTGGGAAGACATGAGGGTTGACAGGGCAAGAGTGGATAGATACTGACCATTCCATTGGAACAGATTAAGGAAAGAACTGTCTAAAAGGAATATATAATTAGGCATTATATGTATGACAACAGCCCAGAATAAGAGATGTATCATTACAAAGAAGACTAGGGCTGAGGAAGAGGTAGGTAATTGTGCAAAAATGAATGAATTATTAAAAATAGAAGTGACCTAAAAAATAAATAAATATAAATTACCTAGTGGCAAGAAGCGGTACTGCAATCCCAGAGGTGCACAGTTCAAATTCACCAGATTCTCTGCCAGAGAAGGAGGAACAATCTCCTCCAGTATCAGTCAAATTCGATTTGATCATACACATACAAAATAAAATAAAATTAAATTAAATTAAAAAATAAAAGTGAGCTGGGAGAGGGGAAAGGGAAGAGGAGGGGGTAAAGTATGCAACAACGAATGAATGAAAATCTAACTTTTCTGTAAATATTTGCTAAAATGACAATTAAAATAATTTTTTTAAAAAAATAAAAAGATCCTTCTCTTTGAGCCTGAGTTTCTCTGTGTTAGATGATGGTTCATGTCTCCAAATGCTTCCCACCCCCATCCCTGTCTTTTCTCCTCTTAGGGATAAAAGGCCACCCTTCCAAATATTACAGAGCCATTACTAATTGTGTATCATTATTATTGTTGGGTGTCACAGAGGTGATTCTAACTCACAATGACTCCATATGACAAAGTAGAATTGCCCACGTGGTATTTTCCTAGCTGCAACCTTTATGAGAGCAGACAGTCAAGTTTCTCTTCAGCAGAGCTTCTGCGTGGGCTGGAAATTCCAGCTTCTCAGTTAACAGCCTAGCATTGAACTGCTGCACCACCAGGGCCAGATGTTGTGCTGCGCAATCCCTCTGCATGCTCTCATCTCATCTCTGCAAAAGCTCCATGAGGCCAACTCCATTATGATCCCATTTTATAGATGATTAACCCAAGGCTCAGAGAGGGAAATTCATTAAGCCGAGGTCACACAGCATGCCAGTAGCAGAGCCAAGCTTGCAATCCTGCTCTCTGGGGCTTGAAATGAAGTGTCTCCCTCATCTCTTTAGGGAGCTCTGGTGAACTGGTGGTAAGGAGTTATACCATCAACCCAAAGTCTTGCAGTTCAAATCCACCAGCTGCTCCACTGAGGAAGATGAGCAGCAATCTTCTCTGAGTTACTATCTCTGAAAACCCGCTGGAGAGTCAGCTATGAGTCAGTTCTGTCTTGTGGGTACACAACAGTAACAACAGCTTATCTCTTTTGGTGGTGTAGTCCACAGAGAGCTGTAATGCCCACCAACAGGTGGCGCTTCTCTGGTGGTTCAAATCCACCAGTGACTCTGAGGAGAAAGACGAGCAATCTCCTCCTGTGTAATTAACTGCCTCTAAAAACCCACCAGAGGGGCAGCTATGGGTTGGTTCTGACTCTATGGTTCACAACAACAACATGTCTTTTGTTTTATATATCTATCTTTTGGTTTATGGCATTCATTACAATACGCACAATGTAACGACACTCTACCCACTCCCTCCCTGTGATTCTTGTTTGTATTAATCCTTCAGCCCTACTCTTTCCTGTTTTCTGAGACTTATCCTTTGGCAAATGCTGTTCTTTTGATCTTATGTAGTTGATCATTCAAAAGAGTAAGTGTCTCCTTGGCGGTATTGGCCTTGCCCTATTTGGCTGGAAGTTGAGTCATCAGGATAAGTTTGTTCCAGATGCAAAAGGCTTTGAGTACAGTCTTAGGGTTCCACCAGCCTGTATCAGAACAGTAAACCTGGACCTTTTTTTTTTTACTTTTTAAAAAATTATTAATTTTAATGAAAGTTTACAGAGCCTTAGGGTTTCCATTCATTCGTTGTTGCACATTTCTCCCTGCTCACCCCTACCCCCCAGTTTGCTCTTCTCTTTTAAAAGTAAGAGAAAAAAAATCTTTCATTGTTTTACAATCCCTCCCCCTAAGTCTACTCCACTGTGGAGTCTTCGTTCTGGACTCCTATCATGACTATAATAACTAACCATATATCCCTTTTAAACAGTTCTCTCCCTCATCTGTTTCAATGCAGTACACACTATTGATCTCAGTTTCCCCCCAACCCCGATGTCAATCTCATTTTACAACAGTGGCACTATGCAGTATTTGTCCTTTTGTGACTGAGAGATTTCACTCAGCATAATGTCCTCTAGGATCACCCATTTTGTATAATATTTCACAAGTTCCTTGTTTTTCAAAGCAGCATAGTATTTCATTGTGTGAATATACCACAGCTTCTCTATCCATTCTTCTGTTGATGGGCACTTAGGTTGTTTCCAACTCTTTGCTATTGTGAACAAAGCCACAATAAACATGAGTGTGCATAAACCTGGACGTTTTTATTTTCTTGAATTTTGCATCTTCCCCTACTCTGTCTAGGACCTCTTCACAGTGATCGCTTTGGGTATTTAGCAGTGGCAGCTGGACACCATCTAGTTCCTCTGGTCTCTGGGTCATGAAAGTCAAAGTTGTCATGATCTCTTCATCCCTTGGACTAATTATTTCAGTGCATCTTAACTTTTCTTCCCTTTTCTTTACTCCATTCAGAAAGAGAACAGTATTTGCCCCTTAGCTGGCTATTTGCGGTGCCAAGGCCTCAGGACCAGCAACTCAATCCCTGAGGCTGTTTGGTTATGAGTAAGAAGTTTACATAGCTTTGCCCCCTATTGGCTCTGTTACACACATGGATATATTTACAGCATATTGTTTTAGGAAAGTCAGCTTGTCAGGGAACTCTCCAGAATGCTAAGGAGCAATGATGTCAGTCTGAAGACTAAAGTGCACCTGCTCCCAGCCATGGTCTTCTCAATTGCTTGCTATGCATCTGAAAGTTGAACAATGACTAAGGATGGTAGAAGAAGAATCGATGCTATCGAGTTGTGGTGCTGGAGAAGAAGGTTGTACATACACGGTAGACTGCCAAGAGAACAAACAGGTCTGTCCTGGAGAGGTGATAGCAGGTTACTTGTTGCAAGAAAGGATTTGGAAGTTCCGTCTCACATACTTTGGACAAGTTGCATGGAGGTATCAGTCCTTGGAGAAGGCCATCCTGCTTGGAAGGGTGGAAGGTCAGCACAGGAAAGGTAAAACCCTGGATGAAATGAATTAACATAGTGACTGTGGCTTTGGGGGCAGGTGTGTCAGAGAGGCTTTCTAGGTTGGCTCAGGAAAGGGCAGGGTTCAGATCTCTCGGTCATAGGATCATAAGTACATGCTTTTCATGATTCCATATCTGCTAATCTTGCATGTCTGCCCACAATTTCACTTGTAGCTTAATGTTTTTGATACTGATATTGTAAGAGAGACTTATTCAAGAAATAATATATTAAGCACCTGCTCTGGTGGCCTAGTGGCAAGAAGCTGTGCTGCAATCCTGAAAGCATGCAGTTCAAGGCCACCAGTTGCCCCACAGAGCAAGAGGAGGATAGACCGTCTACTCCCCCCATGCAATTAACTGCCTCTGAAAACCATCAGAAAGTCAGCTATGCGTTGGTTCCAACTCGATGGCACACAACAACAACGAGTAGGGAGCCCTGGGGGTGCAGTGGTTAAACGTTTGGCTGCTAACTAAAAGGTTGGTTTTTTTCCTAGCTTAAGCATTTATACTTTTCTAAAAATTAATTTTAATGAAAGTTTACAGAGACTTAGGGTTTCCAGTCATTCATTGCTGCACTTTTCTCCCTGTCCACCCCCTCCCCCCAATTAATTCTTCTCCTTGAAAAGTAAAAGAAAAATTCTTTCATTTGTATGCAATCCCTCCCCTCAAGTCCACTCCACTGTGCAGCCTTCATTCTGGACTCCTGTCATGACAATAATACCCAATCATATATCCCTTTTAAAGAGTTCTCTCCTTCATCTGTTTCAAAGCAGTATACATCATTCCTCCCCCCTTTTTCTGTCTTCCCTCAACCCCGATGTCAGTACCGTTTTACAACAGTGGCCCTATGCAATATTTGTCCTTTAGTGACAAATATTTCACCCAACATAGTGTCCTCCAGGGTCATCCATTTTGCATAATATTTTATGAGTTCCTTGTTTTTCAACACTGAATAT